TAAACCTTATTTGGCTCTCCTGCATGGTGGGGAATCTTAGATCCTCTCTCTTTCCTCCCCCCAGTCACTAATTATTACTGAAATATTTTTCTCCTATGCCAGGGGTCTTCAAACTTGGCCCTTTTATGACTTGTGGACTTCAACTCCCAGAATTCCTCAGCCAGCGTGCCTGGCTGAGGAATTCTGGGAGTTGAAGTCCACAAGTCATAAAAGGGCCAAGTTTGAAGACACCTGTCCTATGCTTTAGATCAGGGGTCTCAAAACTTGACAACTTGAGGACTTGTAGACTTCAACTCCCAGAATTCCCCAGCCAACATGGCTGGCTCAGGAATTCTGGGAGGTGAAGTCCACAAGCCTTCAAGTTGCCAAGTCTGGAGGTCCTTGCTTTAGAAAATTTAAACTTGTTACTCGTTGTGATTTGGATCGCTTTAATTGTCTTTTAAACAGTTTTTTCTTTATCTTCCAAAACCAATTTCCAAGTGTTGTAGCTTGACTTGCTGTGTGATAGGTTACATTTAAGGGAAGCGTTGCTGCTTGAATGTGTCTAGACTTTAGCTATGAGTGTGTACAGTCCATTTTCCTACTGCTTCAAATTCTCTTAGTTTCCCAAATTCGCATTTTTAGCATGGTTTCTCTTTCCCAAAGTTGTGCCTGATTGATTCTTGCCACTGTCAACATATACTTTAATAAAAGCACTTAGAGGAGGGAATTGTAATAATAATAATAATAATAATAATAATAATAATAATAATAATAATAATAATAATAATAACAAAACAATAATAATAACAATAGTAATAATAGTAATAATAGTAATAGTAATAATAATAATAATAATAATAATAATAATAATAATAATAATAATAATAATAATAATAATAATAATAGTAAAGTTTGAAGGGATCTGGGAGGTCATCTAGTCCAACCCCCTGCTTAGGCAGGAAACCCTATACCATTTCAGACAAATGGCTGTCCCGTCTCTTCTTGAAAACTTCCAGTGTTGGAGCATTCACCGCTTCTGGAGGCAGGTTGTTCCACTAGTTAATTGTTCTCACTGTCAGGAAGTTTCTCCTTAATTCTAGGTCGCTTCTCTCCTTGATGAGTTTCCACCCGTTGCTTCTTGTCCTGCCTTCAGGGGCCTTGGAAAATAGCTTGACTCCCTCTTCTTTGGGGCAGCCCCTGAGATATTGGAACACTGCTATCATGTCCTCCCTCGTCCTTCTCTTCGTTAAACTAGACATACCCAATTCCAGCAACCGTTCCTTATATGCTTTAGCCTCCAGTCCCCTAATCATCTTTGTTGCTCTTCTCTGCACTCTTTCCAGAGTCTCAGCATCTTTTTTGCATCGCGGTGACCAAAACTGGATGCAGGATTCCAAGTGTGGCCTTACCAAGGCATTGTAAAGTGGTATTAACACTTCACGTGATCTTGATTCTATCCCTCTGCTTTGATACTATGTGCTAAGGGGAGGGGAATTCAGATTTTGGCTTCGCCTATGTACGTGCCGATGCTATGCTGCTCAAATAAAGATTCTTTAAGTAAACAATGCCTCAAAGGTCTTTGAAGAGTTTCATCTGTCGGAACCATGACACAGACGTTTACTGTGAAACGTTACAAAAACTCAAACGAGCTCTCCATAACAAGCGTCGGGGCCTGCTGACTTCCGGTGTGGTGGCGGTTCACGACAATGCTCACCCGCATACCACTAGATCAGGGGTAGGCAACCTTGGCTCTTTTATGACTCGTGGACTTCAACTCCCAGAATTCCTGAGCCAGCCATGCTGAGGGGAAAGGGAGAGGTTTCCAAGCTGAGCCATGCTGGCTCAGGAATTCTGGGAGTTGAAGTCCACAAGTCATGAAGGGGCCAAGGTGGCCTACCCCTGGCCTAGGAGGCTCACCGCTTAGAACAGGAGGACTTAGGATGGGGATAGGCAACCTTGGCTCTTTTATGACTGGTGGACTTCAACTCCCAGAATTCCTGAGCCAGCTATGATGAGGGGAAAGGGAGAGGTTTCCAAGCTGAGCCAAACTGGCTCAGGAATTCTGGGAGTTGAAGTCCACGAGTCATAAAAAAGCCAAGGTTGCCTACCCCTGCCCTAGATGCACCGAAGAACGTTTGAAGCGGTTCCATTGCAATGTTTTTGATCACACACACACACACACACACGTAGCCCAAATTTGATGCCGAGCGATGACTACTAAGAAATTTCAAACCTTGTAAGACGTTACGACAAGGGCCTCAATTTGAAGGGCGATTATTAGATAACCTTTATTGTCATTTTTTTTCCCTGTGGGCACAACGGCACACATGAAAAATGAAATTTAGTTGTCTGCTCTCAACGTGCACACGTACATAACACACATTTAAAATGTGCCATATACAACCTATGGATAGACCTACACCCTTACACATAAGTAACCTATTAATATGAATCGCTGTCCATCTTGAACACGTAATGGAAGGAGGAAGCTTGAGAGTTCACAAGGTTGATACTGTATGGAACAAAAGTGTGACTGCTTCGGATACCACGGAGCCCCCTCCTCCCAGAAGGTAACAAGAAAAACAGGTTGTGAAGAGGCTGTGTAGTGTCCCAGACAATCTTATGGACCCTGCTCAAGCAACACTTATGTGTCATGTCCTGGATGGAAGGGAGGAACAGCCAATGATCTTTTCAGCCATCCTCTATGTCAAAAAGTAATATGTTGTAGTTTTCTAATGTGTATAATAAAAGTTCTATATCTGTGAGTGTGTCACTGATAACCAAACGGAGGTTTATTTCCAAATTGCCTTCGTACATACATACATACATACATACATACATACAAGAATTTAGTTCTTATGTAGCAATGAAGTGTTCAAGGAAAAAACACAGCCCTCCAGCGTGTCTGTGTTAATCTGCAAAATCTTTATTAATGCAATCATTTAGGCATTATTCACACTCACTCAATCCCCGCTGTTATACTAGCATTGGTCTTCTATGAACTGGCCACATTTATAAGATTGTTGGGAGACAAGGGCACCACAATCGGATGTACAGTTGGGTCTCTCAAAGGGGGGGGGGGGGTTCCTTAAACTTTCCCTTTTCATCTCTTGCCAGCAGCCTCCGAGCCAAGCTGTTTTCCACCCTTTCTAAGACTTTTATGGATTATGTGATTTCTGCGTGGCAGTTCTTACCTTTGTTAGCTCTCCTTCCACCCACTATATCATCTCTATTTATCTAAACTATCTGTATCCATTTCTATATCTATACATATCTTCTATTTATCTGTCTGTCCATCCGTCCGTCCATCCATCCATCCGTCATCAATCCATCCATCCATCTACCTACTATATCATTTCTCTATCTATCTACCTAAACTACCTGTATCCATTTCTATATGATCTATACATATCTTTTATTTATCTTTCTGTCCGTCCGTCCGTCCATCCATCCGTCATCAATCCATCCATCGGTCATCTATTTATCCATCCATCCATCCATCCATCCATCCATCCACCCACTATATCATTTCTCTCTCTATCTACCTAAACTATCTGTATCCATTTCTATATCTATACATATCTTCTATTTATCTGTCTGTCCATCCGTCCATCCATCCATCCATCATCAATCCATCCATTGGTCATCTATTCATCCATCCATCCATCCATCCATCCATCCATCCATCCACACACTATATCATTTCTCTATCTACCTAAACTATCTGTATCCATTTCTATATCTATACATATCTTCTATTTATCTGTCTGTCTGTCCATCCGTCCATCCATCCATCCATCATCAATCCATCCATTGGTCATCTATTCATCCATCCATCCATCCATCCACACACTATATCATTTCTCTATCTACCTAAACTATCTGTATTCATTTCTATATCTATACATATCTTCTATTTATCTGTCTGTCTGTCCGTCCATCCATCCATCGGTCATCTATTCATCCATCCATCCATCCACCCACTATATCATTTCTCTATCTACCCAAACTATCTGTATCCATTTCTATATCTATACATATCTTCTACTTACCTATGTCTGTCTGTCCATCCGTCCATCCATTCATCTGTCATCTATCCATCCATCAGTCATCTATTCATCCATTCATCCATTCATCCACCCACTATATCATCTCTGTCTCTGTCTCTCTCTATATATATACCTAAACTATCTGTTCTGTTCCATTCCATTCCGATTTTCTTCTATTTCACTTTGAGAGCGGACAACTAAATTTCATTTTTGATGTGTGCCTTTGTGCCCACAATAAAAAAAAATGACAATAAAGGTTATCTTATCTGATCTTCTTTTTTTTTCTTTTGCCACTTTAACTTTCTCTTTTATCCCTTTTTCTTTCCCCCCCTTCTTACTTTATTTATTTCTTAGATTGTATTCATTTCTTCTCTCGTTTCTTAAAACTTTCAATAAAATAACATTTATTTTTTTAAAAGATAAGGGGGAAAAAAAAGACCACTGCTTTAGAGGGCTCCAGCTTCTGGAAGTGCAAAGTTTCATAACCAACAGGGGGAAAAAATAAAAATAAAAATCTGCGGGAAACTAAGGAAAACAAACTCCCCCCCCCCCCTCAGTATTATTAAGCTGAATTTGTTTGTCCTGTACGGAAAAAAAAAAAAAGCCACCGGGCGCGGCCATCTTCGTCCATTCCCTACGAACGCGGCCACCTTCGCCCGTTTCCTACGGAGGCGGCCATCTTTCCCCGCCCCCTTTCTTCCGTACAACGCCGCCCGCCATCTTAGCGTAGGGCAAAAGAAAGCCTCCCGGGAACGCTTGCCCTTTCTCGAAGGTGAGCGGGAGGGAGGGAAGGGGAGGGAGCGAGTGGGCGGAGCGCGCGCGCCCTCCAATGGGACGCTCCGCCGAGCGCCTCCGAGCCGTTTGATTGGAAGGCCGCGGAAGAGCGCGGGGGGGGGAGGGAGGGACGGGCGCGAAAGGATCAGCTGGTGCGGATGACGGAGCGGCGGGAGGGTCGGCGCATCAGCCGCCATGGGCGAAGCGGAGAAGTTCTACTACGTGCATAGCTGCGATCTGGACCTGAACGTCCAACTTAAGATGTGAGTAGGAGNGAAGGGGGGGGAGATCTCTGCTTTGCAATGAACTGGGGTGAGAGGAGGGGTCCCTGCTTTGAAATTAACTGGAAAAGAAGGAGGGGTCCCTGCTTTGCAAGTTAACTGGGGAGGGGGGGAGGGGTCCCTGCTTTGCAAGGACCTGGGACACAGAAGGGGGGGGGGGGAAGATCTCTGCTTTGCAATTAACCGGGGAGGGAGGAGGGGTCCTTTGCTGTGCAACAACTTGGGATGGGATGTTGTTGCCATATCATTGTTGTTGCTGTCATTTGCATTTAATTTCTGTACTTCTACAGGTACATACAGGTAGTTAGTCCTCGGCTTACAGTAATTTGTTTAGTGACCGCTTGAAGTCACAACGGCACTGAAAAAAGTGACTTACAACCGCTTTTCGCACTTAAGGCCGTTGCGGCCTCCCCATGGTCGCGTCATCAAAATTTGGATGTTTGGCAACTGGTTCATACTTACGACGGTCGCAGTGTCGTGTGATCCCATTTCACGAACCTCTGACGAGCGAAGTTGATGGGGAAGGCAGATCTGCTAAACAATGGTGCTCCTAATGTAACGACTGCCGTGGTTTACTGAACAACTGTGGCAAGAAAGGTCGTAGAACGGGGCAAAATTCACTTAACAAATGTCTCACTTAGCAACATAAATTGTGGTCGTAAGCTGAGGACTACTTGTAAAAGGGGGCAACTGCTATTCTTTACTCTGGAACTTCGCAAGGCAGGGCGGGATTTAAATTGCTTTTCTCAGTTCCAGTGCCTGCTGTGGTGGCTCAGCAAGGCTGCTGAAACCCAAACACACACAGACACACACACACACACACACACAAATGCACACATGGGTTATATAGACACAAGCCCACGGTATTGAATTATGAACAGGCCTGATTGTCGGAAAGTTTAACAGCTCTGTTGTTCCGCAATTTTCCCAAATTCTTTTCTGGTTAGCAGATACTCCATTGTGAGTTGTGGTGGTGTAGCTCTTCTCCCAATGATGCTGGCTTTCTCCATGGAGGGTTTTGTTGTGGCTGTGTGTGGTATTTTTTGTTAACAGAGTATTCACTCCAGGCTGTTTTGTAGAAACCCCGCTCATTGGTAACCGTTCAAACCCATTGATTGTGCAAGTTTTGTCTTCAGGAGATTTATTTTAGCCCCGGGGATATTTTGCTTATCCTGCCTTTATTATTTTGCAAATAACTCTAGGCGGCCAACATGTCTGACCCACCTTACTCCTCTTATTTTCCTCACAATAACAACCCTGTGAGGTGGGTTGGATTCAGAGAGGGGGACTGGCCTAAAGTCACCCAGCTGGCTTTCCTGCCTAAGGCGGGATTAGAACTCACAGTCTCCTGGTGATTGGCCCAAAGTCACTCAGCTGGCTTTCCTGCCTAAAGTGAGACTACAACTCATAGTCTCCTGGTGATTGGCTCAAAGTCACCCAGGCAATATTAATGCCTAAGGTGGGACTAGAACTCACAGTCTCCTGGTGAATAGCACAGTCACCCAGCTGATTCATGCCTAAAGTAAGACTAGAACTCACAGTCTCCTGGTGATTGGCCCAAAGTCAGTCAATTGGCTTTCCTGCCTAAGGTGGGACTAGAACTCCTAGTCTCCTGATGATTGGCCCAAAGTCACCCAGCTGACTTTCCTGCCTAAGGTGGGACTAGAACTCACAGTTTCCTGGTGAATGGCCCAAAGTCACTCAACTGGCTTTCCTGACTAAAGTGAGACTAGAACTCACAGTCTCCTGGTGAATGGCCCAAAGTCACCCGGCCAATTTTCATGCCTAAGGCAGGACTAGAACTCACAGTCTTCTAGTGAATGGCCCAAAGTCAGTCAACTGGCTTTACTGCCTAAGGTGGGACTAGAACTCACAGTCTCCTGGTAAATGGCCCAAAGTCACCCAGCCGATTTTCATGCCTAAGGCGGGACTAGAACTCACAGTCTCCTGGTGAATGGCCCAAAGTCACTCAACTGGCTTCCCTGACTAAAGTGAGACTAGAACTCACAGTCTCCTGCTTTCTAGTCTGCTGCCTCAAACCACTACACCAAACTGGGTTCTCCTTATCCTATTCAATAATAACGATATCCTACTCAAATCTCGTTTTCCTGCCTTGTCCACTTAGCGGCAGCTTGGAGGGGAAAAGAGAGCAGAAGAGCTACAAAGCGGTTTTGGAAAACCCCATGCTGAGGTTCTCCGGCTTGTACCAAGAAACGTGTTCGGACCTCTATGTCACCTGCCAGGTGTTTGCAGAAGGGAAACCACTCGCTCTTCCTGTCCGGACGTCCTACAAAGCGTTCAGCACCAGGTGGAAGTAAGTCCTCGGGGTTGGGGATGAGTAGTACAGATCCTAAAGGTCTCCTCTGGGCCTCTCCTACCACTCTTCAGCTACTTTGTGCCCTGAAACTTCCCTGCCACAAATCTGGGTCCTCATTTTACCAACCTCGGAAGGATGGAAGGCTGAGTCAACCATGATGCGGTGAGACTCGAACTCCTGGCAGTCAGCAGAATTAGCCTGCAATTCTCCATTCTAACCACTGGGAAGGAAAGAAGGGAAGGAGAAGGAAGGGAGGGAGGGAGGGAGGAAGAAAGAGAGAGAAGAAAGGAAGGAAAGAAAGAAAAAGAAAGAAAAAAAGAAAGAAAGAAAGAAAAAGAAATAGCAATAGAACTTAGACATATACCGCTTTACAGTCCTCTCTAAGTGGTTTACAGAGTCAGCCTGTTGACCCCAACAATCTGGGTCTTCATTTTACCGACCTCGGAAGAATGGAAGGCTGAGTCAACCATGATGCGGTGAGACTCAAACTCCTGGCAGTCAGCAGAATTAGTATGCAATTCTCCATTCTAACCACTGGGAAGGAAAGAAGGGAAGGAAAAGGAAGGGAGGGAGGGAGGGAGGAAGAAATAGAGAGAAAGAGAGAGAAGGAAGGAAGGAAAGAGAAAAAGAAAGAAAGAAAGAAATAGCAATAGAACTTAGACATATACTGCTTTACAATCCTCTCTAAGTGGTTTACAGAGTCAGCCTGTTGACCCCAACAATCTGGGTCTTCATTTTACCGACCTCGGAAGAATGGAAGGCCGAGTCAACCATGAACCGGTGAGAATTGAACTGCAGGCAGCCGGCAGTCAGCAGAAGTAGCCTGCATTCTAACCACTGCGCCACCACGGCTTCAATGGATTGATCATGTTAATAGTGTAGGGGATACAATAACTAAGTCAGATTTTGCGTCTCTAATCTAGGGATGGTTAGAACAGTGTAAATCTGAACTAAAAGCTTAATTTCTCTCCCTCAGCTGGAACGAATGGTTAAAACTGCCGGTCAAATATCCCGATTTGCCCCGAAATGCCCAGGTGGCCTTCACCATATGGGACATCTACGGACCTGGGAAAGCCGTCCCTGTTGGTGGCACAACGGTCTCCCTCTTTGGGAAATATGGGNAAGGAGTTGAGTTTTGGGCTAGAAGATGCTGTGGAGAAACTACAAGAGTTGTCTGATGCTTTGGTCACCAGATTGTCTCCTTCTGTACTGTAGGTGACCTGTAGTTGTGAGTCTCAGTAGTATGGTGGGTGTTCCTTGTTTGAGATCCTGAGCTGTGTGCCCACCAAGTTGGCTGACTCGCTTTTTTTTGGACCAAGCTAGGATAACTGCTTTCTTGTCATACAGCATCACAGTCTGGTTTGGAAGCATCCCTGCTTCGGACAGGAAGGCAATGCAGAGAGTGGTGAGGATGGCAGAAAAGATCATTGGCAGTTGCCTCCCTCCCATCCAGGACATAGCACAGAAGCGTTGCTTGAGCAGGGTCCATAAGATCATCTGGGATGCTACACATCCTCTCCACGACCTGTTTTCCTTGTTACCTTCTGGGAGGGGGGGGGGGGGCTCCAGGGTATCCGAAGCAGAACATCCAGATTCAGCCACAGTTTTGTTCTAATCAGTATCAACCTTGTGAACTCTAAAGCTTCCTCCTTCCATTATATATTCAAGATGGACAGTGATTAATAGTTATATGTTACTTACATGTAAGGGTGTAGGTCTATACAAATGTTGTATATAGTATGTTTTAAATGTGTGTTATGTATGTGTACACTTTGAGAGCAAGCAACTAAATTTCATTTTTAATGTGTGCCATTGTGCCCACAGTAAAAAATTGCAATAAAGGTCTGTCTGTCTGTCTGTCTGTCTGTCTGTCTGTCTGTCTGTCTGTCTGTCTGTCTATCTATCTATCTATCTATCTATCTATCTATCTATCTATCTATATGTATCTATGTATCTATCTATCATCTATCTATTTATCATCTATCTGTCTGTCATCTATCTATCTGTCATTATCATCTATCATCTATCTACCATCTATCATCTCTATCTATCTATAATCTATCATCTATTTATCATCTATCTCTGTCATTATCTATTTATCTCATCTAATCTATATCATCTATCTGTCACCTATCTGTCATCTATCTAAATTCAAATTCAAATTCAAATTCAAATCTATTTATCATCTATCATCTATATCTATCTATCTGTCATCTATATCATTTATCTATCACCTATCTGTCATCTATCTATCTATCTATCTATCTATCTATCTATCTATCTATCTATCTATCTATCTATCATCTATCTATCTATCTATATCTATCTATCTATTCATCTATCTATCTATCTATCTATCTATCTATCTATCTATCTATCTGTCTGTCTGTCATCTACCTATCTATCCATCCTTCCACTATCTATCTATCTATCTATCTATCTATCTATCTATCTATCTATCTATCTATCTATCTATCTATCTATCTATCTATCATCTATCTAAATTAGCCTTCCTTTTGTAGGATGTTCCGTCAAGGAATGCACGATCTCAAAGTATGGCCCAACGTGGAGGCAGATGGTTCTGAGCCAACCAAAACTCCTGGGAAAACAAGCAGTACATTTTCAGAAGACAAGATGAGTCGGTTAGCCAAGGTAAGAAGGAACTCCCCTTGTTTGTTGTTCTAATTCTCCTGAAGGCAGGAGGACAAGAATCAACGGATGGAAACTCATCAAGGAGAGAACCCAACCTAGAACTAAGAAGAAACTTCCTGACAGTGAGGACAATTAATCAGTGAAATGGCTGGCCTTCAGAGGTTGTGGGTGCTCCAACACTGGAGGTTTTCAAGAAGAGATTGGACAACCATTTGTCTGAAATGACATGGGCTCTCCAACTTGAACAAGGGGTTGGACTGGAAGATCACCAAGGTCTCTTCCAACCCTGTTCTATGTTCTATGTTCTAATTTAATCATCCACAATTTGCTATCAAAGTAGATAGACCTCTGAAAAGCAAATATATGATTCTTCTCTAGTGAAGGAATCAATGACCCATCACTGAGATTCCTCCAACCCGCTAAAAATTTAATCCCGAGTTGAAAAACACTAGAATCATCATGTGATACTCTTACTATGACCCGTGATAATGGCTTGGCTCACACAGCACAATAAAACACTAGCTGGGTTTCTACAAGGCTTTGAATCACAAACAAAACAGCCTTATTTTCGTCTTGTCTGAAATGGTATCGGGCTTCCTGCCTCAGCAGGGGGATGGACTAGAAGACCTTCACGGTCCCTTCCAGCTCTGTCATCCTATTACTAGTAGTGTTTGATTGCTTATGATTGTGATTCTCCATGATTGTTTGAGAAGGATCTCAACCAGAGTGAAGCCACTAACGGAACAAAGATGGCAAGGAGTTCGTTCTGGAAGTTAAAGCATGTTTAGAGCCAGTTTGGTGTAGTAGTTTAAGGCACCCAGCTAGAAAGCAGGAAGCTGTGAGTTCAAGTCCCGCCTTAAGCATAAAAACTGGCTGGGTGACTTTGGGTCAATCACCAGGAGACAGTGAGTTCTAGTCTACCTCTTAGAAGCAACTAAGAGTTCTTGTGAGAGTAAAAGACAGGAAACTGTGTTTTATCTCTCTCTATTGAAACTCAAAATATTGATAGTTTTATAATGAAAGGTGTCTCTTTGGGCCATATACGGTAGTGGCCAAAAATTGTGGAAACCTTTTGGGAAAAGCGTACAGTAGAAATGACACCTTTGGTTAAGTTTCCACCCATTTTTCTTCTAATTTCTTTATCACTGTAGCCTTGTTCACTTAATAATACTATTTTGCATCGCTTTCTGGGCGACCAGTCAAGTCTTTGCACCATTACTTTAATTTTATTACGTTTTACAAGCTCACTAAATGAAAGAACACAAAAAAACCCAACTAACTTGATAGCGATCACATAACACACTGACAAATGTCCTCCTCTCAGCTTCAATACAGGACATCAATCACTGGATCCTAATGTGATCTGATTGGCTCATTGCCAAAACAAGATGACACCTGATTGGCTCTCTAAACACTTGTGCTCATTGGCTACAATCAGATGAAGATCAACCTAAGCAAGTTGTGCTTCCTTTTTCTGGTTATTTGGCTATAACATTTCATAGAATACAGTACAGATAATTGAACACACTTTGTTGCATTACATTCTTGATTAAATTATCTTTCCATTGATATATAATTTTATGGTACTACTCCCAAAAAAAAAAGTGGTGATATTAGCCATCCAACCTCCAAAATACACTTTTCCCAAAAGGTTTCCACCATTTTGGCCACTACTGTAAATGTACGTCATCTTGCAGACCCCCTAAGTCAAGCATGTCCAATTTTGACGACTTTTAAGACTTGTAGACTTCAATTCCCAGAATTCATCAGCCAGCATGGCTGGCGAAGGAATTCTGGGAGTTGAAACCCACAGGTCTTACAGGTGCCAAAGTTGGACAGCCCTGTTCTATGCTACCTTTTGTAGTGATAGGAACATGATATTCCCATGGGGAATGTTCATGTTCATAGGTCGTTCTGAAGACCAGTTTCTGGGAAGGGAGACCTCTTAGATTTTGCTTCCTGCTTCTCCGGGAAGGATTTTGTCACCTTCTCCCATCTTATGCCTTACATTTCTTCACCCAGTTTCACCTTTGGATCTGTTCCTTGTTTCTCTTGTGACCCTGTTCTTGGGATAACTCTTGCAGCGGCCTGGAAAAGTTGACCCATTTTCTGCTTTCCACGTCCTTCTGGCTAAGGTTAACCACGTTGCTAAACCTTTGACACCTTAAAATCAAAGTAGCATTTCCAGGTAGAACAGAGGATTCAAGGATGGATCAAGGTCTCAGATGCCTTTCTGAGATCTGCAGCTAACAGATAGGTTGTTTTTTTTTCAATGTAGGCCTCAGGCGAGGAACATTTGGAAGAAGTAAGTATTAAGGAAACCATGGCTTGTTGGCACCAATCTTTGGGGAAAAAAAGCACATGGTTGCAAGTTCCTGAGGACTAACATCCTAATCTTTAAAAAGTTTTCTTCGATTTGTTCATATGCCAGTTTTTGCTCGTGTAGCATCTGCTAACCCTCCTAAGCTTCCTAATAGGGGGTTTTAGCATTGGGCTAAACTGTGGTTTAGCCACATAGGTGACATAACAAGCTTTAAACCATGATCCAAAATCCACAGTGATGAAGAATACATATTGTGCTAAGCCAAACAAAGCATATCATATCTGCTAACCCTCCTAAGCTTCCTAATAGGGGGTTTTAGCATTGGGCTAAACTGTGGTTTAGCCACATAGGTGACATAACAAGCTTTAAACCATGATCCAAAATCCACAGTGATGAAGAATACATATTGTGCTAAGCCAAACAAAGCATATCATAGTTTTACATTGGGGTCCAAACCCAGACAGTCCAGGATTTAGTCATGGAGGGGTTTTTTGTGTTTTTTTTCTAGAATGCAGGTTTTGATAATAAAGTAGATGCATTGATATAAATCAGGGGTCTTCAAACTTGGCCCTTTTATAACTGGTGGACTTCAACTCCCAGAATTCCTCAGCCAGGCAGTGCCTGGCTGAGGAATTCTGGGAGTTGAAGTCCACCAGTCATAAAAGGGCCAAGTTTGAAGACCCCTGGCCTAAAGCATATAAAAACTAGATACATTTGGCTCTTTGTAGCTCTTTGCACGATTCTTAACAGTGTTGTGGAAATTTTAAGATTGCAGCCGTGGTATTTCCTAGCGATTGCCCCTTCAATTAGTAGCCAAGAATGACTCTACTTAGCTTTTATGGGCAGCCATAGTTGACTAGTGATTTTTGTTTATTTTTATTTAGTTATTCCATTTCTATAGCCACCCAACTCGACCGAGTGACTCTGGGCATAGCTGTTGGCTGGAACAAATAAGACTTAGTCATAAATAGTGTCTCATTTATCACAGTGAATCTCCCTCTAAGATTTTCATTTTCTGTAAATGCATCAGAGAGAGATTATGGTTGACTCATTCACAGGGGCAATATTTGTCTCCAATGACCCCACCTATTATTTTCATATTAATAAGGATTAAGATATAAAACTTGGCGACTTCTTTAATTCATCTCCAGTTCAGTGGAAATCTTATATAAATAAAAATGTAAATGTTTGTTTGTTCAAAATCTTAAATCTCTGAAAGTTCTTCACAGATTGCTTTGAAAATTTGACACAACGTTGTATTCGAATACGCGCGTGTTTGTATATACCTATATTATATAGATGTCACACCTGTGATAGGTAAAAACATGCTTATTTGAAAAACAGTACCATCTGTTGGACGTACCATCTGTTGGACGCTTTTTACCAGACTGAGCCACAGCAACGCGTGGCTGGGTACAGCTAGTATTTAATAAAACACAACAAAAGGCCGTCTCTAGAGGTTTCTCATCGTCTTATATTGACCGTGACTGGATTTCCGTTTAATTATGGACCTTTTTGATAATGTCAGGGTCATGGTTCCGACAGATGAAACTCTTCAAAGAACTTTGAGGCATTGTTTACCTTAAAGAATCTTTATTAGAGAAGCATAGCATTGGCACTTACATAGCTTAAGCCAAAATCTGGATTCCCCTCCCCTGAGCCCATAGTATCAAAGCACAATTCCCTCCTCCAATTAACAGTCATAAATCACATTCTCCAATTAGTTTGAAATGCAGGCTCTCCCTCCAGTTCTCCAGCCTGGCCAATTGTTATCATCTCTTATTTCAAAAACCTTGGTTCTCACACTAGGTCCAGCATTGTTATGTCTAGCTAAACTCCCAGCCACATTCCTCCTCCTCCCCCCCCAGTATCATCTATTTCTAACTCTAATTCTAAGAGTAAAACATAAGAAGGAAAATGGCTGCATCTCCATATGTTAGTTAAAGCAAAAGCATCTGATGTTAGCAGCTTGACATCCAGCATAGTAAAAATAAATAAATATCAAGGTCCAGATTTGGGAGTGTGTGTGTCTCATAACATACTTAAACAGATTGGGATGAAGACAGAGCAATTATAGTTACACGGCACACTAACTTTGATTAAGGTCAAGCATTGTTAATTATTTTTTTAATGGGTTAGCATGATTAACCTTCCCTGGTTAATTCAGGGTAATTTATATATATACATATACACATACATATACATACTTACACACATATCTCTGTCTGTCTGTCTATATCTATCTATCTATCTATATATCTATATATCTATCATCTATCTGTCATCTGTCATCTGTCTATCTGTCTGTCATCTATCTGTCATCTATCATCTATTATGTATCATCTATCTATCTGTCATAGATAGATAGATAGATAGATAGATAGATAGATAGATAGATAGATAGATAGATAGATAGATAGATAGAGATATATAGATATATTCCATTTATTTATTTGCAAGCAATGGACACATTTCACAATATGCAAACAAATATAGGGATCAAGTTAAACACATTGAGTAAGCCCAACAGTAAAAATAATTGGCTTAAATGGTTAACTTTTTCCACATTGGGGTCATATTAAACTTTTAATACCATGGAAGTATAGCTATTTTATCTCATCTGATGGGTTAGAAGGCATAAAACTCAACAGCCCCATATTTTGGAGAAAATGCATGGAGCATGGGATTATTTGGGTGAATTTTAGAAAATGCATTTCTAACGATCCCACCGCAATCCGTTACGACGCCTCAAAGCATAGGAGGATTAATTTAATGGATTTCTGCTTATGATTTCGGCTGGATTTCTTAAATTTTATTTTTTTAACTTCCTGACTAAAACGTGATGTAGCAAACTTTAATGTTGCCATGCTGGTTTTTTTTTTTTTAAGTGTCCCTTTTTGGAATGACTTTTTTGTTGTTGTTGCATTTTGGTATGGACCGGTCTCCTCAGTGAAGTTGCTGTGTGCAAGGTTTATTCCGTGTACTAATTTTAAAGCTTTCCGTATAATCCAATAAGAAATATTGCATGCTCGGTCTTCTGTTGGATCTTTCTGGTTTTCTGAGTCTTGATGAGTTTTGAAAAGTACCAAAAAAATAAATAAATAAAAAATAGCTGTGTAAAAATCAGGCCTGTTGAGATGCAATCATGGAAAGGAACAGTTCTGAAGGCTTTACACATTGGTGTGCCCAGTCTATGCCCAGGTTAATCCCAATACAACATTGACTGTCATTGCAGATTGGCCCCGTTCACAAAAAGTGGTGGGTTTATTGTCACAAGAAAATGGGCCCTTGTGGGGAAGTTGCAGCAATTGGGTAGATCTAGTCTAGAGAAAAAAAAAAAAAAAAAAAGGACTAGGGATGACACGATAGCAGTCTTCCAATGTTTGAGGGGCTGCCCCAAAGAAGAGGGGGGTCAACCTCTTCTCCGAAGCGCCCGAAGGCAGGATAAGAAGCAATGGATGGAAACTAATCAAGAAGAGAACACGCTGGCTGAGGAATTCTGGGAGTTGAAGTCCACAAGTCATAAAAGGGCCAAGTTTGAAGACCCCTGCCCTAGAAAGTATACAGAGAAGAGCAGCAAAGATGATCAGGGGTCTGGAGGCTAAACCGTATGATGAACGATGGAGGAAACTAGGTATGTCCAATCTAACAAAGAGAAGGATTGGCGGGGACATGATAACCATCTTCCAGTACTACTGTCACAGAGAAGAGAGGTTCAACAAGGCCAGTCTAGAGAAAAGAAGGACTAGGGGTGACATGATAGCAGTCTTCCAGTATCTCAGGGGTTTCCCCAAAGAAGAGGGAGTCAAGCTGTTCTCCAAAGTGCCTGAAGGCAGGATAAGAAGCAATGGATGGAAACTAACCAAGGAGAGAAGCAACCTGGAACTAAGGAGAAATTTCCTGACAGTGAGAACAATTAACCAGTGGAACGACTTACCTTCAGAAGTTGTGGGTGCTCCATCACTGGAGGCTTTCAAGAAGAGACTGGAATGTCTGAAATGATATAGGGTCTCCTGCTTGAGCAGGAGGTTGGATCAGAAGACCTTCAAGGTCCCTTCCAACTCTGTTATTCTGTTTCTTTCCCTACTAGAGCAATTCTGATTTATCTTTCCTTCCCCCCCCCCCCCTTTTCTTCCAACATGGAACACTAGCAGAATATGCTGACAATCTTTATCAACTAAGCTAGTTTTCACAACTGCATTGAGTGATCTTAGACTTAGTGGGGAAAGCACCTAGACACATGTAACCTTCATTGCTAAATTGCTTCCGGGTGGCATTCACACAACCCATAGTTTACTAAGGTAGAGTCAGCTTGGTTTTACTCAATTTTATGAGTTTGCAAATAGCGAACTATGAAGAAAGCATGTAGACTGTTTTCCTACAAGACACATTCTGTTGTTATTGTATTTATTATTTGTTAATAATATTAATAAATATTAATAATATTTATTTATGTATGTATGTATATGGACAGCAAACTCGCTTATTGGGATTCTGGGTAGTTTACAGAAATAAAACCCAGACACAAAACCTAATAGATCCCTACTTCCATTAATAATAATAATAATAATAATAATAATAATAATAATAATAATAATAATAATAATAATAATAATAATAATAATAATAATAATAATTTAAAAAAATAGCAACAGCTATTATTCTCTAGGCCCACTGGCAAAACTATGTCTTCAGAGCCTTTTGAAACAGTATCAAGTTGACGGTCAGCCCTATCTCTATAGAGATAATATTCCACAGGAAGGGAGCCACCGCAGAGAAGGCCCTTAAAATAAAATAACAGAATTGGAAGGGACCTTGGAGGTCTTCTAGTCTAATCCCCTGCTCAGTCAGGAAACTAGAACATAGAATAGGGGTTGGAAGTGACCTTGGTGGTCTTCCAGTCCAACCCCTTCAATTTGGAGACCCTATGTCATTTCAGACAAATGGTTGTCCAGTCTCTTCTTAAAAACATCCAGTATTGGAGCATTCACAACTTCTGGAGGCAGGCTGTTCCCCTGGTTAATTGTTCTCACTGTCAGGAAGTTTCTCCTTAGTTCTAGGTTGCTTCTCTCCTTGATTAATTTCTTCTTGGTTCTAATCTAACTAGATGGACCTCTTTGAGAGAGGGGACCCTTAACATACTCTGTTTCCTTGCTCTGGGGATGTTGGGTAGATGAAAATGGGAAAGTGCTCCTTCAAATAACCTGGCCCCAAGGCTAAAATATGGTTGGCTGGATTGTGCTCTGGTTACACAAACACAAACCCACAGCCTGAAGATAAAGAGTCCAGTTTCTTCAAACTCTATGACTCTTTAGTTTATCTGAATGAGGTCCAGGTGACAATCCACGTAGTGTAATGGTGAAAATATTGGACTAAGAACCGAGAGACCTATGTTCTAATCCAAGGCTCTCCAGACTTGTTAACTTTTAAGACTTTTGGACTTCAACTCCCAGAATTCCTCAGCCAGCTGTGCTGGCTGGGGAATTCTGGGAGTTGAAGTCCACAAAGTTGCCAAGTCTGGAGAACCCTGTACTAATCCATCTTTGCCCATGGAAGTTCCCTGGATGACTTTGGGTTGGTTGTCATCATCATCATCATGAACATCATCACCGTCATGACTCAGCTCAAATGATGACCGTTGTCGTGTGGATTAAAATAATGGGAGAGCCTTGTGCATGCTTCTTGAGCTCTTCGAAGGAGCTGAAGCCAGAGGAGATGAGGTAAAGCTGGAAAGAAAAGGGCTGCACCTGATCTTTACCAGCATGCTTTGCTTTGCTTTCAGTTTCACTTTCACTTTCTGTGATGGAACATTAAGTAGTCTGGATCCCCAGGAGGGAGGGGCTACATTTCAGGGGAATAAGAGGCAACACAGCCCCCAGATACCATGTGTGAGAGAAAGAGGGTGAAGACAGCTCCTCCCTAATAGTTCCCAGAGTACATCGTAGATGCAGACAGTAGAGTCTTCAGTCTGGGCAAGATTGGGTCTATAAGTGTGAAACAATGAAGGACCCCGCTTGGAAGAATGACCAGGTGTCGTTCTTGATTTTGGCCTGACACGTGGTGACTAAAGAATTCTGGGAGTTGAAGTCCAAACATGGAGGCTGGGGCATTCTGGGAGTGGAAGGCCACACCAGGGATTGGGTCAAGTGGCTGTTCTCAATTGCTTTGTTTCCCCTGGAAGATGAAAACAGGTATTTAGATCAAAGCTGCCCTTGGGAGTGAAATTTTGTTCAGTTTGACCTAATCTGAAATGCTTAATTGTCTTGATGAAGGTGCGTTGAACTATGGCAAGGGGTGGCGATAGGAATGGGTGCAACACTCTAGCAATAGCACTTATATGCCACTTCACAGTGCTTTACAGCCCTCTCTAAGTGGTTTACAGAGTCAACAACTTGCCCCCAACAATCTGGGTCCTCATTTTACCAACTTCGGAAGGATGGAAGGCTGAGTCAACCTTGAGTCACTCAGGATCAAACTGCTGACAATGGAATGCAGAGTTAGCCTGCAATACTTCATTCTAACCACTGTGCCACCATGGATATGTATATGGATAGATGATAGATGGATGATAGATTAATAATAGATGTCAGATGATAGAGGTAAATAGATGATGGATAAATGATGGATGGATGGATGGATGGATGGATAGATAGATAGATAGGAGATGTGTATAGATATAGAAATGGATATAGATATAGAGGATAGATAGGGAGAGAGAGATGATATATAGGTAGGTAGATAGATTAGATAGATAGATAGATAGATAGATAGATAGATAGATAGATAGATACAGACAGACAGACAGACAGACAGACAGACAGACAGACAGACAGACAATGTAGGTAAGTAGATAGGGAGATAGATATCTAGGTAGATATGTAGGTAGATATTTAGGTAGGTAGGTAGGTAGATAGGTAGATAAATATGAAGCTAGATAGATACCAGTAGATAGATAAGTAGGTAGGTAGATAGGTTAGATATGTAGTTATGTCAGTACGTTGATAGGTAAGTAGATAAGGTAGATAAGTAAGTAGATTGTAGTTAGATTGGTACGTAGATAAGTAGGCAGATATGAAGGTAGACAGGTAAGCAGATATGTAGGTAGATTAATACATAGATGGGTAGGTAGATATGTAGATAGGTAGCTAAATAGCAAGACAGAATCAATGAGAATATACGCATACATGTTTGCATGCGTGTAATATCTTCAACATGGCAACTTCTTTCTGTCCAGCTAAATAACCACATTCTACCTTTTCCTTCCAGCTCACCAAATCTCACCGGCAGGGCCACATGGTTAAAGTCGATTGGCTGGATAGGTTGACCTTCCGAGAAATTGAAATGATCAACGAGGTACGTCATGGGCTTTGATGAGTTTTGGAGCATGGCCAACTGGGAAACGGTGGTGCCCAACTAGGGGCTGGATGTTCAGGGAAGGCTCTCTGAAGCCCTTCCGTTTTCTTCCCATCTCCCTCCCCCTTCAGTCCTCTTGAGGTGATGGTATCATTTGGGCTAATCACCAGGAGACTGTGAGTGCTACTCTTGCCTTAGACATGGAAGTCAGACTTTGTTCCAGTCCCTCTCTTCTCTCTGCCCAACTCACATCCGAGGGTGATTGTTGTGGGGAAAACGGGAGGAGGAAGGAGTATTATGTACTTTCACCACCTTGAATTACTGATAAAGAAATACAGGCGAGATCAAACAATCAAATAAATCTTGACGGGAATTAGATTCGTTTTGCAAATGAAAGTTCCAAGTGAGAGCTTCTTCATACATCTTTTTTTCCCTTCTCTTCTTCCTTCTTATTCTCAGAGCGAGAAGCGGAGTTCTAATTTTATGTACTTGATGATTGAGTTCCGTTGTGTCAAATGCGATGACAAAGAATACGCCATCGTGTATTACGAGAAGGTACGCAACGCTGGCCGGTTGTTGATTTTCATCTACATGATTTGAAGCAATGCCTGGTGTGCTACACAACACGGGATAATCTAATGCTAAAAAAAATGAGCTGAAGTATCAAAGAAAGCCGCTTGCGTTTCACTCTTGATCGCACATGAGGTCAAATATAACCCCCCAGATCAGGGGTAGGCAACCTTGGCTCTTTTATGACTCGTGGACTTCAACTCCCAGAATTCCTGAGCCAGCCATGCTGAGGGGAAGGGGAGAGGTTTCCAAGCTGAGCCATGCTGGCTCAGGAATTCTGGGAGTTGAAGTCCACCAGTCATAGAGCGGCCTAGGCCTAGGCCAGAGGTAGGCAACCTTGGCTCTTTTATGACTCGTGGACTTCAACTCCCAGAATTCCTGAGCCAGCCATGCTGAGGGGAAAGAGAGAGGTTTCCAAGCTGAGCCATGCTGGCTCAGGAATTCTGGGAGTTGAAGTCCACAAGTCATGAAGGGGCCAAAGTTTCCCTCATGCTGGCTCAGGAATTCTGGGAGTTGAAGTCCACGAGTGATAAAAGAGCCAAGGTTGCCTACCCCTACCCCAGATCATCGTATTATGCATACACATAGATTGTCTCCTCTAGCTGAATACTGATAAATATATTTCAACAATAATAGGTTTCCTCCTTTGTGAGACAAGCTTGCATCACTCAATAGTAATAACTGTGAGAGGGACCTTGGAGTCCTAGTGGACAATCCCTTAAATATGAGCCAGCTGTGTGCTGCAGCTGCCAAAAAAGCCAACACAGTGCTAGGCTGCGTTAACAGAGGGATAGAATCAAGATCAGGTGAAGTGTTAATACCGCTTTACAAGGCCTTGGTAAGGCCACACTTGGAATACTGCATCCAGTTTTGGTCACCGTAATGTAAAAAAGATATTGAGACTCTGGAAAGAGTGCAGAGAAGAGCAATAAATACCGTATGATTAGGGGACTGGAGGCTAAAACATATAAGGAACGGTTGCTGGAATTGTGTATGTGTAGTTTAATGAAGAGAAGGACGAGGGGGGACATGATAGCAGTGTTCCAATATCTCAAGGGCTGCCCCAAAGAAGAGGGAGTCAAGCTATTCTCCAAAGTGCCTGAAGGCAGGACAAGAAGCAACGTATGGAAACTAATCAAGGAGAGAAGCAACCTAGAACTAAGGAGAAATTTCCTGAAAGTGAGAACAATTAATCAGTGGAACAACCTGCCTCCAGAAGTTGTGAATGCTCCAACACTGGAGATTTTAAAGAAGAGATTGGACAACCATTTGTGTGAAATGGCATAGGGTTTCCTGCCTAAGCAGGATGTTGGACCTCCAAGGTCCCTTCCAACTTCTATTCTATTCCTATCCTATCTTTTCCTATCCTATCCTATTCTATCACACTTGGCCAATAAAGAATATTCTATTTCATTCCATATATTCTGTTCTGTTCTGTTCTATTCTATTCATATGAACTTCTACAGCTCTGTTTACCCAACCAGTTTGCCCTGACATCTATCTACTTTATTAAGAGAAATACTTGGTAGGTAAACTCAACAACAAAGCCCTCTCTTCACAATCTATTATTGTATTTAACTTGCAGAAATTCCCCAATGGCCTTTGATCTGCCATGAACTACCCCAATCATTAGTCTGTGATCATTCCAGGATCAAATATCCTTGATTGATTCCTAATGATAAAACTTTTTTTTTTTTTTAAATCTTAACTGGGAACTTTTCCAACAATGGCATCCTACGTTTTCTTCCTAGAATCTGTCCAGTGAAAATGGACTATTTTAGATAATGATTTAATGGATTTTTCTTGGGTTTTCTAATCTAGGATGGTGATGAAGCATCTCCAATTTATACAAGCTCCGAGATTGTTAAGGTTCCTGATCCGCAGATGTCCATGGTAAGAATGTCTGGGTACCACATAACATAGGGCAGGCTGAATTTAGGGGAAAAATGTGTTTGTGAGTCTTTGGGCATGTGAATATACAAATAGGGCTTCCAAAGTTGAAGATGGCTTACATTTCAAACAGTCTTGGGGCTAAAATCATCAACAACAAAACTGACAAAGAAGGAACTAGGCCAGGGGTAGGCAACCTTGGCCCTTTTATGACTCGTGGACTTCAACCCCCAGAATTCCTGAGCCAGCATGGCTCAGCTTGGAAACCTCTCCCTTTCCCCTCAGCATGGCTGGCTCAGGAATTCTGGGAGTTGAAGTCCACGAGTCCTGAAGGGGCCAAAGTTTCCCTCATGCTGGCTCAGGAATTCTGGGAGTTGAAGTCCACGAGTCATAAAAGAGCCAAGGTTGCCTACTCCTGGTCTAGGCAGTGATGGTGGTGAGAATGAGAAGGATTTGATAATTAGAAAAAAAAATAGCAAGAATGCAAAAATGAAAGTTCTGTTGCAACCTTAGAGTAAGAGGTCGATTTAAATCTATACATGCCTTATTATAATTTATTTGTTTATATTTCTACCTATAGCTATTGTAAAAGAAGCTTAGTCATTAATTCACATTTTTATTTTTCTGTGCTGTCGGCTTTGCTTTTTTTTTCTTAACCTTTTTTTCTCTTTCTTACCTTAATTATTATTTTTTTTGTTAGTTTTTATCTTTCTAGTTGTAAAAAAAAAATCTAATGAAGTTATCTTTCAAAAAATTACCAAGGGCTATCTCTTTTTTCTTTCATATCCATAATACCTTCCTTTTTCAAAATGTGATTGATTTTGGCTTCATCGTTACACATCTTTATTTATTGGTATAGTTAGACATTATTTTGATATTGTTATTTTCAAGAGTATGCTATGAGTTAACAAAGTGTGCTGAAATAATGCCAAATTATTTGGAGGAACACAGGGTAGGGAGGGATAAATTTCTGTCTTGCCCATTCTTGGCTTAAATATTTTTTCACTACCATGAGCTTTCCTTCCTTCCTTCTTTCCTTCCTTCCTTCCTCCCTCCCTCCCTCCCTCCCCGCCAAAATTAAAATCACATATTATTTCTTATACAATATTTCTAATCTATCTACTATAAATAAAAATGTAAATGTTCGTTTGTTCAAAATCTTAAATCTCTGAAAGTTATTATTATTATTATTATTATTATTATTATTATTATTATTATTATTATTATTATTATTATTATTATTAATTGCATTTATATCCCGCCCTTCTCCTTTCGGACTCAGGGCGGCTGACAAATGATAAAAAGCTAACATATTACACCTAGTTAAAATTTAATTAAAATGAAATATTTGAGAATGTCCAATTTAAAAGTAAT